CTAGCATTACAATATTTAGTTGGCATAATTTGTTTACCAGATTGTAGGCGTTACAAAATTATAAATTGTAAATATACAGACTATTATTAACCTTTGATTCGAATAAAAGAAATTAGGCCATAATACATATAATCTATATTACTCACAGAGAACTATTTACATATACAATTATATATACAATACATAGGTAAATATGGATTTTTTTAAAATTGGATAAATATTGTCAATAACACAAGCCTCTCAGCATAGATAGCTGTATAGATACAGATACATCGGAACTATGACAAGATAATATATAAAAATATTCACATATACAGCGTAGTAATTTTTCTCAGAAGCAGCAAGAAATGTCTAAGTAAAAACAAATAAAAATTAAATATATTTATTTAACCCTGGATTAAATGGAAAATATAAGAATGATCAAATCTTAATTGCCGTTCAAACCGATTGGGAAGTAACCAATTGTATCCCTACTATGTATGATGTGTAGTAACAACATGCTAACATTTTTTTTATAGTTGACGGACTATACAACATTTCATTCAATATTTTAGATGAAGTCACGTAATATAAAAAAACAGATAGATAAGTAGATAGAGAAATTAAATACATAGCATGTCTCATGAAAGACGAGATCATATAGAACATAAAAAGTGAACATATGTTATATCACAGAGAAGTTTAATAGCATACTATCTTTTATATTGTTTTGCTATATACACAGTGACTCTGGTTAGCTGGTTGATTGCATTGACAGATCATCAGATAACTTTCCATGTACCTCAATTAGCGATTTTACGCCATTTTGCTACCACATTCCTTGCAAGAACGTCTAAGATAGAAGAATATAGCCTAAATGTATTTCGTCGAATTTAGATAATTTAATAGGTCGATAAATAGTCTGATAAGATCTCAAAGAAAAACCTTCCTAAAAACCTATTTCTTCTAGACGCCAAAGCAGCCATTCACAGAAAATAGCTCTGCAATGAGGATTATGAGGAATACACAGATCCTCTGCATAGATTCCTATACACCAATGACTGTAAAGAATTGCAGTAAGCCTTGCAGTGTTCATACAATCCCATTTGATGTGTTCCTAAGATCTTGTTTTATTATGCACATATTCAAAATGTCGGATAAATATTACATTATTGATAAGAAAAAGAACTTTTCAAGAGAATATAGCTACATTTTATTCAAAAGTATTAGGTTATTTTAAGTCATAACAAAAAAATGACATTTTATTATAGATAAATCAGAAGTCTTTCTAGTTTTATAAAAAATTTTTATATAGATTAGAATGTTGTTAAAGCCCGAATAAATTGTAACAAAATAACAAAAGTACTTGAGTACAGGTATTGGAAAAATTAACCAAATACCAAGCACTTGATGTTGCTTATTTAAATGATATACAAAATTTTTTGAAAAAAAATGTCATTCTGTTAAAAATTTGTTTTTTTTTTTAAATATTGCTTATATTTTGTTTTCAAAGATGGCTCAGAGACATCTATTGTCCATTGCGATGCCCTTAAAAGTTGTTAGAAAAAGTGAGCTTTATTACATATATTGCTATGTAATATTTTTTGTTTTGAAAAGCATTTATTTTCCAAATAAAAATGAGGAAATCATATTTATTATTTCTGTCACGACAATATTTAACACTTCCATTCTTTTTGTTGGTCTCTTAGACATTGAAGTCGATTAATCTGAAGTCCAGGACAAAAATAATCAAAGTGATTGTTAGATTTTATCTCTTCAACTGCAATTCCTGCACAATTAATTGTCGGTACACGCTATGGATTACGCATCGATTTAATGGCACAATATCACGTTAGTACTTCAGTATGTATTTGAAATGTAGGTTTATTGGGATCCAAATGATTTCTTCCTGTCTCTTTTTCTATACTCCTAAACCGTTCATTCATCAGAGTTTGTGCCTTATGTACCGATACTAACTTTAGTATATTTTATATATTCTAAGTTCAGACAACTGAAAGTATTCAAAGTTCTAACCTATTTTAACATCTAATCTATTTAACAATAGATGTTAGTTTAATTATTTCATTTTTGTTGTTTTATGTATTGATAAATTAAATTTGTTCATTAATAGTAGTATAAAATTTTGAAATCTGTGCTTATTCCCATTTAACTTTTTAATATTAAAAAATTTTGCTTATGTTATTTGACAAATCTCATTAATTTTATACTATAATAATAATAAGCCTTGCTGAACATCAATGATTTCGAGCAGCCTCTTATACTGGACATAGACTGTCTATAAGTCGCTTCCATCTTTCGCGCCGCAACGGTGCGCCCTATATATTAGTAATGTTGCTTATTCTTCTTCCTAGGGGCTGCAAAACGGTAATTATTTCATTTAACGTTGACCTTCTCCATGTTGTTTTTGGACAACTTTTATCCCTGCTATCTTGCGGGTTATATATCAACAACTGTTGACAAATTTCGGTAGGAGCCTTTCGAAGTGTATGCCCGATCTATCCCAATTTTCTTTTGCGAATTTCAAGGCTGACATCTCTTACATTTGTTCTGGTCCAAAGGTCTTGATTTGAGATTCTGTTTGGTCAGAAATACGCAAAACTCTGCGAAGATAGTAGTTGACAAACACTCTCGGCTTGCTTTGTATGTTTTCCATAACAAACCAGGTTTCGCAACTACACAGGAGAACTGAAAGAACGCATGCTTTTCATACTATATTTTTACTAATTTCATAAACTAATTGCACATGTCATATACTAAAATTAAAAAATATTTATAAAACTATATACTTTCCAAATTATATTTATATTAAAATTAAAAGGGTCTCTAAATTAATTATTTATATGCATGTATCTTTGTGTATGCTTAATATAATTAATATGACTAACGATGCGTGTAGCCTTGCTTTGCACTACAATGTTGAGCAATTCTTTTAATACTTACGTTACGTTTTTGAAAAGGAATTTCCACTTAAGAAAAACTACGTAAATTTTTGAATATTAAAGAAAGAAATATAAAACAAATAGTTAAATATTTTTACTAAAATAATTCAATGTCATTTTATTTTATTATTTTTGCTAATTTATTATTTTTATCGTACATTTTTCTTTTTGACAACACACCATACACTTCACCCTTCACATTTCAAATATATTTTAAAGCAACCGTTTTCCACCAACAACCCGCATACCATTAATGTCAACATTAGTTCTACATTAAGAAATATCATTATTCTTTTATATATTAATTTCTTATACTTAAGGATATCGGAACTCATACATTTAAGTCCTGTTTAATAAAATTTGCATGTACACAAATAACACACGATACATAAGGGATTTAGATAAAACCTTTGAGAATATGTTATTATCATGCGTATCCAAATGTTTGTTTATATTCACATTGTTGTTATGTTTAGTTTCAGTTTATTTTATTTCACTCTTATTCATCGATGTTTTCTTTGATTTTTATTTTTTGCAGATTTTTGATTTTGTTCCTCTCCACTCGCGATGGCTACCATGAATTCGGTAAGTATGATTCACATTAATCATTCATGCGATATAGATCATAAATTATTATATTTTATATACATAAATAGAATACCTTACTTTTCCGTTTATACATACGAACGTATTTGTAAAATATTTTGTTGCTTTTAAGATACATTTGCGTTTTTTCAGCTTGGAATATTATTAATATTTGTATTTGTTTTTGTATCTGATGATATCCAAGAATTCATGCCTAATTTAAATGCTTAAAAACTCGTTCAAAGAAAATTAATTTGCATTTGTTATCAAAATTTTGGAAACGTGCAATGAAAACAAAAAAAATAATATGATTAATTTTTTTTTTTAATAATAAATTAGATTATAATTTGCAATGTTTGCAGTATTTATAGAGAACAGGTGCTTATTCCTATTTAAAATTGCGAAAACTACTTGATATTTTAAAATAAATAAACTAATAAATCAAAGCATGAAAGTCAAGGAGTATCGTACATTAATTTATTTCTTAACGTTCGTCATAGAAAAGATATAAAGTATCAGCATATTTTGTAGTGATTAAGTTCCACAAATAAACTGGATGTGAACCTTGGTTGGTAGTTGGTAGTCTTAATTAGTAAGTAACTTGATATGAAAACAATATATTTTCTTACTCAACATATATGGAAGGCAATACCTCAATAAACATTCATTAAATTTTCAACATAATGTTTCTAGTTAAGAAAAAACATTTTTTCACACCGCGGTAGTTATTCTTAGTTATCCATTTCGTGGTCCTGATTTAACCGCACTAATTCCGTGACATATGTTCAACAAAACTGTCATCTCAGACACTATATATTCAGTTTTAGGTTTGCCATTTCACAAAGAAATAATTGAACAACCGCAGTTTGTCTTCGAAATGTAAGAATTTGCTATAGAAATAGTAATAATAAGGCCCATTTTATTTTTTCATTTTTCGTTAAGTGGATATGTCAAGCTTTCTCGTGAGAAAGCAATGTGCTTATAAAAATGAATTCAAGCTTCACCCATTATATGTTTTGTGAGACCAGAAACTTTATAATGGGTATTATGTATTCCAATCAATCTCATAAATATTGTTTAATATAACTCACTACTGTTTAATGATTTTTTCACTACTGTTTAAATTTGTTAGCAGATATATGAGTTCTACTAACAAATGTTTCTGTTTTTAAATCTGGATATTTTTTATATATTTGCTAAATGACTTCTGTATTAAAAAGTAAATTATGATCACATTGAATATTTGTATTAATCATTGCAGTTTTTTTATATCCGTACTCTCTTGTGTAAAACATTGTTCAGAGGAAGTTATTATTTATATGTATAAAAGTTACTCATACGCCCCGTGTTAATTCAGCAAATGTAATATAATTTATATTATAATATAATATTTATACTATGATATTTATTATATTATACAGATTCAAAAAATCAAAAATAATATAAATCTCTATATAAAAACTATTAATTATGGCTGCTAAACATACAAGCATTCAAAGCAGATAGAAAGAAAGATACAAACATTTTTAAATAAATGCCTGCGGAAAATCTTAGAAATATTGTGGCCTTACCCCATATCAAATATAGAAAATTTGCTCCAAACAAATCCGAAAGCTGCTGTAACTGAAATAAAAACGCGAAAATGGAATTGAATAGGGCATACTATCCGATTTCCAAATAATTATATTCCAAGTTTTGACATGAAACCCACAAGGCAGCAGACGCGCTGTGTATCGGTTTTAACTTAGAGAAGGACAATTGAAAAAGAAATGACAGATGCGCTCTACACATGGAGACGATATATGCAGAGAAGCACCTAACAGAGTACAGTTTAAGAGAATCGTTGCGGATCTAAACCCCACTAGGGGAAACAATTAGTATTTGATTAAAAATTTAAAAACTAAATTTAAAACTATAATTTAATTATAAATTAAATCCGTAGTATTTTATAGTATGTAATTGATTTCTTAAAAATATTAGTATTTACTTTGATAGAAAAGTACTAGTAAAAAAATTAACCATAAAATATATATCTATACTAATATTTGGAGCAGATTATTCGTTTACATATATACGAAACTGAAAAAGAAAACTTTGTGGAAGACATTTTGTTGGTATGTTGACGCTTTTTTTGCGATATAAGCAATTTTCTGTTATTGACAATATCTTAAAAAGGAAAATATCGGTTATTATATCTAAGAACATGATGAATCAATATAAAAGACAAACAGTTGAATGAACGATCAGAGAGGTGACATTGATTTTGAAAAAAATTGTAGTTCGTCCAAAAGCAAATATTTAATGACAATTTATTTTTAGTTGAGTAATACTTTGAGTTTTGTTTATATTTCTGAAAAATGCATTTTAGTATTTCTATTTTTACTCATACCATACAAAATTTTTTTATTTATTTAATATTAATTTTTCAGTAGAAGACAAACTAAAATTAAAATGAAACAATATGTGTTTCACAATTTTCATATAAACTAAAATATTTTCGTGTGTCTTTTGGTGGTTGTTAAATTTAAATATTTTTTAATATTTATTTTTATTTCTTTTTTATTTTAATATATGATTTTGAATGGCTTTATAATTTTCCACGCACACGCGAAATGAAACAATTCATTTATTTTAAGCCATATGAATTAATGAGAAAAAAATAGTAAAAATTGCTTTCAGTGACGTTTCGAAATAGCAAATATTAAAAATTATTATTAAAAAATTTAATAAAAAAAATTTGAATTTTTTTTTAATTTCATATTTAAAGAGCGTCTAAAAGGTGTTCTCACTTCATTATTATATTTTCTCTTGTGCCGGATGAATGACATTGACTTTGATTGACATATGAATCATGGACACAAAAATAAGCAAAGTGATTGAATATCGAACATTAATGCCGAACGCAGAAGCAGTTCTCAAGACTGCTACTTTCATATGCAAGTCAATTTTTTTTATAGAAAAAATTGCTTTCATGACTTCAAAGTTTTAAATATTCAACTCTTTGATATTTAAGTAATTTTTAATCTTATAAACGAGCGTACATTCAAGATTTCAACTAACATACCTATATAAACAACATATTTACATTCTTTGAACGTTACTCATATCCCGTCATGAAATACCAGGTTATGATTTTAGTTTCGATTAAGTGGAATTTTAAATTTATATATATGTATGTGTTTAGTCGTGACTGTATTGAATGAAGTATGTAAAGTGAAAGTGAAGTGAAGTAGTGCAACTCTTCATCTTGAAAGTAGTGTCACCAGCAAGTACTTAATATTTAAGATAGAAATAGTATTAAATAAACATTTTCTTAGACATTTCACTAACACATACCTTTCTAAAACAAAAACTATCTTAGAGATAGTTTTTAGCACATTTTACAATCTTAATGCTTGGTTTTATTCAAATTAGTTTTGTAAAACCAACATGGAATATTGAACGTTTGAGATGTCTCTAATGTCTCTCTAAAGCTGCAGTTTACTTTATGTAATTCTAATGTCTAGTAAACATAAAGCACCATATTTATTTATAAAAAACATAACGTTTTTTAAAAATAATATTTTTTTATTTAATTAAATTAAATTTAAAGTTTGTTGATTATCTGAAAATTTACTTATTTCAATTGTTGAAGTCAAATTTTCAAATAATTATTATATATTTTGCAAAAGTCCTTTTTATTGATATTGATTTATATATTGATACTAGAATCGCATACTAATTCCATATATAAAATAGAAAATTTTCTTTAAAATTGCTTTTGAATACTCATTTTGTGACAATTTGTATGAACTATATATATTTGACATCCTCAAGGACCTCAAGATTGATCCGATCAAAAAATACATAAAGGATAGAGCCCTGAAATTATTTACAAAAACTGACAGGCTTACCAATATCGCGTTATCGAATCTCAAGATGGTTACAGGCTCCTCGGGTGGTATAAAGATCTAAGCTCAGTTATTGCTTAGCCTGATAAAGTGTTAAACAGTAATCCAATCAAAGAGTAATAGAGAGTAAAAGTGGTCAAGTGCACTGACTCAACTAGTCTCAACATAATAAACGAACATTATATCAACAATTAATATTTTTTATCAGTATGATACAATATATCTTCTTGATGGTATTCAACTTGGTCTTCCTATTTGTACCTAGGAAGACCAAGTTGATAAATGGATGGTTTTGGTTTACTAAATCGTATTGCGGGCATACAAAACAATTGCTGAAAGTGAATTTATATTTTTAAATAGAGTATATGTATATAAGTGTATTCAATATTATTTAAAAAAATAAATTAATAGTGGATAATAAAAATTGCTTTTAAACAAAACTAACTTCATGAAGATTATTAAATTTTTAGCAATATCATCTCTGATTAAAAACATAAATTTAAAGAATTTATAATAACACATAACTGAAATATAAAATTGGAATCAATTTCCAATTTAAGTTAAAACTCGTATTTAATTATACTGAACTGTCAAATCCGGAAAACATTCCAATATCGATATGCCTTTGACAGAATATTTATAAATTATTTGCATTTTTTCCATTTAGAAAAATAAGAAGCAAAAATAAAGCAGAGAGAAATGCTTTCACAAAGTGCATACGTTGGGCAGAATTTATAAAATTCTATGCATTGTGCTTGTCGGGAATATATTTTATGGTGTTTACAGTTCGAAAAAAATGCAAAAATACAAAAATACACAATACACACAAAACGTACAAACAAAATATAGGCAAGGCGGTAAAATCCTGCACAGTGGAGAGCATAAATATTATTCGTAATTTATTTTAAATAAAATTTATTGTGCAATAAAGATTTGTCTCCTAGTGCAAGTGGCGTCGTTAAAAGTGAATCAGCGAGGTACATAAATAACGCAAGCGAGTATTGTTGCAGTTCAGATTACGCTCGATCCTTTATGTTGGAGGGTTTTTTGTTTTGGGCAACAGACGATGTACAAATTTGCAATAAAATTTAGAGCATTTGGCAGAGATAGGAATTTATGATTGCTCTATTTGCAGAGGTGCAAATTTTACTGCATCACTTATAGTGCATTGTAGTAATATGAAAAATTGAATTAATTAAGTACACTTTACGAAAATGGATGAGAAATTAATGTTGTTTATTGACATTTATAACAAAAGTTTTACTTCTTCTGGAATAATATTTTTATTCTAATCCAATATATAATGTCATTTATACCGTAAACGATGCTTTAGGTTAAGCATTAATTTAGTCTTTAAAACTCAATATGTTATTTGAAGCTATTTGATACTATTTTATAGTGCGAAATGTACTCTTGTCACACTTCTCACTCACATTTAAAATTTACAATAATTCTTTAAAGTTACTATTGATACTATCTTTATTAACTAAACATGAGTAACTGTATTATTAAGTACTATGGACATAATAGGTATATACTAGACTTAACAAACGTAAACAACACGAGATAAGAAGAAAGAAGTGTGGTTGGATTGGACACACACTGCGTAAGCTTTATGAAGACATCGCGGATGCTGCACTTACTTGGAACCGCCAGGGGACTATGCGCAGTGGCAGACCAGCAATAACCTGGAGAAAGAGAGTTCAGCAGAAGACGGGCAAATCGTTTAAAAAAAATAATAATATACTCCAACCCAACATAACCTAAACTAAATCACTTATAAGAAATATAATGAACCGAAAAACGCACACTAAAATAAAACTTTTAAACATTTAGTTAGATCTCAACAAAATACTAAAATCGTATCAATTGTAAAATTAAAGTTACTTATAATTCCATTTACTTGTTAATATAAACGTCTTTAATATGGATATCAATGATCTCCCTAATCTGTACACTGTTGCTCCTTCATGGCAAATATCCCTAAGATAGTTTTTGTTTTAAAAAGGTAATATACAAAAATCTATACATAATTTTTATATAATTCACGTAGACCAAATAATTTAGTTAATATTGCAAACAGTTCAAAGGAAAATAAAGGTATATATAATCTTCTCGAGCACAGTCTACAACCTTCTTGAAGTACATTCCACAACCTAACATATAGTTTATCAAATATAATTAAAGGACTTCCTTTGATTTACTATGATTAAATTTTAAGCAATGTATTTATTAGTGTATTTGTATCATTAAAAAATAACATTTCAAAATCTTAGAATGATTTGAGTATAATAGTATGAGAATTTTTTTTTTGGAAAAAGAATTATTCAAAACCATGGCTGCTATGGCTGGACGTCTGCATAGCAGATAAGAAATTGATAACGTGTGGTTAGATCCTTAAATCTTTAAATTGTCAAGCAATACCCTTTTACAAGGGATATGATATTATCGGTATTATTCATATTTAAGTTAATTAGTTTCCTATTTCTAGATAGGTTTAGGGATGGCCAGATTTGTTTAGTTTTGGCACTACGGGTTTTATTTTCCCCTTCTCTTTTGTGCTTTTTCAAGCAATGTAGAATACATCATAGATTTCTTTCTTATTTATCGATTTAAAAGTAAGAGATAATATTTACTTCTGGATTTTAATATTATGTGTAACCAAAGTTTTAACATAGACTCAATAAAAACAATGAAACATAAATTCTTAAAACAACTATGTTCAGTTATAAATAATCCTGAAACACATTTTCGTACATCATTATTTTTTAAATGGATATTTTGAACTTTGTGTGAGTCAGTTTAGTCGCAGAATATCTATGCAATTTAGCTAAATTGTACTGTAAATATTTAAAAACCAAAATAATTCTTAAAATCAGATTATTTTATATATTTTATGAGAATTTTTTTTTTGTAATCATTGCAGTTTGTAGGTTAATTTATTAAGAATGCATATCTACGCTCACCCTGTCCGTTAAAAGCAGCATCAGATAAGCGGCACAAGAATGGGGAGTAGGACTGGGTATTTACATGCCTAAGTTAGCAATTAAAATTACAGAAGCCTTTCTGCTTAGATACCTAATGCATTAGTTCTATATGTGTATAGTCTCATATTTGTGTATGACATGCTGTAAAGATTCTTTTGTAGCGTTTGTTGGATGATACTCATCGTGGAAGTGTCTGTTACTATTGTGTCTGGTTTAAGAATAACCCCATCAGACGTTCATCATAGACCATATTTAAATATATTTTCTTTTTCGTTGGGTGTATTGCCAAAATTTTATTAAACTTATATACTACATAAATTTTTTGGCAAGTTCTACACAATTGTCATTTTAGTTTTATTTATTTTTAATCTAATGGCATTATTCGTATTAAATATTTTAATGCAGCGACGAGTTTTAAAGTATTTAATACATTGCCGATCATTCACAAAGTAAAATTCTTCCTAATTTTATCAATTATTTAAACGTATGAACAAGTATTTTTATTTCCGTCATAATACTTGGAAACATATTTTAATTATAAAAAATTTTATTGCAAAACTTTTTATAATCAAAATGTTTTTTTTTAACATTTCTGTTAAATTATCAATCATATACGTTGTTAAATTTATTGAAATTTCCAATAGAAATAATAAATAAAAGTATCAAAATATTAGATATCTCAATGTGCAAATATTATTTAAATAAAATTTGAATAAATTTTGTCGAAAATAAAAATAAATTGTGTATTTTGTTTTTGTATTATATGATTGTAAAAATAAATTATTTTCTAATATTTAAAAAATAATTGATTCATTCATTTATTTTCATATATTTGAATTTTATTCTTTTATCACTTTAGGTACAGAAGAGCATACATCTGCCTTTATCGAGTTTAACTTCGCCTCGGGTGCTTATGTGTGCCTCTGTTGGTACAGAAGGTTCCGTAACATTACAGTTGAGAGACACAAACTCTTCTATCGATTCTAATCACTCCCCAGCATCAACATCCCTAGAAAATGCGTTGACCATCGGTTATCCGGATCCGGAAATGTTGGCCGACGTTTTAGGCACGTTACAGACAGCCTGTAAGTATGCAACAACATACTATATTTTCAACAAAATATTATTTAAACTTTATATACTGATTTTAATAGCGCTAAAAAACAACAGTACAACAATAACAACTAAAAGCATAAATAATAACAATAATATTACTCATAGTAATAATATTAATAACAGTAGTGTTAACAACAACCACAACAACAATATCAGCATAAACAATATAACAAATAATAATAAAATCACTATAAGTCGTCGCAATTCGACTATACCTATCAAGGAATCGAATAAAATTACTGTACAAACCGTATCAACATCAACCAATACCACCAATAAAACGAATAGCTACATTAAAAATTGCCTCATACGCAGCAGTAGTTGCAGCAACACAAATAACGTTACCTCGTTAGCTCAAATTATGAGCAATAGTAATAGTAGCAATAGCTCTAATTCCATATTGAATAATACTACGAATAGTAACAGCAACTGTAGCAGCAACAGCAATTTCAGCTCAAGCAGCAACGACAGCACCATTAGTATTACCAGCAACACCAGTGGCGGTAATCTGAAGAACGGCAATAATTTAATAGCACACGGTATTAAAAATGTTCCTGGCAGTGCTACTGCCACAGCAATTGTAAAGAAGAGTCGACCTAAATTATCATCACCCACCAGACACGGTCCACAACAGTGCCTGGTAAGTGCATATTTTGCATATTTTTAAGTGTAATTTTAGAGTCACCTTAGTTAATCTTAAAATTTTATATTCAATATATAAAAGAATTCTCTTTAGATTAAATGGAAATTTGATATCATTTTTATATTTAATTATCTACTAAGGACGTGTGCGAGTTAGTCTAAGTTGATGCTAAACCAAATGGGAGATTTTTTGCACTGCACACATTTAACCATTTATCAACACGCATCGACACATCATTACATTATCGACACAACGTAGAATTTCCCTCATTTAGAACGCAACTTAGCCTAACTCGCACATGTCGTAAATGACCAAAAAAAAAGAAATATTGATGTCTCAGCTTCTCCAAAGGAATAAATTTGAAGACATATGTATAAAACTATTTGTTAGTTCTATTACCCAGTTAGATAAGGTACCAATTATACTAAATTGGATGTTTTAAGTTTTTTCAAATAAAAAAATTTTTCACACTGGTAAAAATTTTCATACTAGCTGAGTTGGCGATAACAAGCTCTTAAATATTTATTTACTGTGTTCAGCTGTATCCACTTACTTATTCAGTTCGTTTGCTAACAGAGTTCAATAAAGTCATCTATTCCTTTTTGACTGTAATCGGTTCATATATTTGGATGTAGTTGACTATGTGCAATAATATCGACAGCACTGATCACATGTTAGTAATTAGTCATTTAATTTATTTTTGATTTATATATACCGAATAAAGCATCTCTCAAGCTTAAGTTTTTGTGCAAGGAATTCAACTTCCCCTTTCAATTAATTCAATATTCATATAAACATATTAAGAATCTATAGATTTATTGAAACATTTTTAACATTAAAAATACTTATACCGATGTGTCCCACAGAAATTTTTATAAAGTTATTCTCACACTTTCAATATTATTAGCTGGCGTTTTGATTGTTTTTTTTTTCTTATTTCGTTACTGCAGTTAGCTGGCACATTGCATGTTGTGTTTTTTAACATATATATAAGTGTAGTGATGGAGCATACTTTGTAATTGATATTCAATTTAATATTGACAATAGCTTTGTTTTAATTCTGTTTCATTGACATATAAAAATATTTATATTTATAAAAATATTTTAGTTTTGACGTGAAATCGCCCAACATCCAATACTGCGGTCTGAAGAAGCAGTTTCACAAATTCAATTTCACTATTGATTACACAAAGCTCTTTAAAGCTTTATGAACAAAGCCCAGAACTAAATCTAGAGAAGAGCTCTTAATCTGTTCCAAATGAAACAAGTTTCTTTTGTGCGTTATTAAAGCTGTACAGTCACTAAGAATATGCACAGTAGTTTCCTTCCGAATTATTATGTTGAGATTAGTTGAATCAGTGCACTTGAGCAATTTTATCCTCTATTAACTGGGAGGTTTCTTCGTAACCTCTCTCTATGTCTTAAGGATCATATATTTTGATATTCGAACTTCGCGGTAGATTAAGTTCTTTAATAAATAGAGTATAGTGTGGCCAATCAATGGTGAAAGTGTTAATTATATTTCTACATAGATTTCCTATACATATCCTTTTATTGAAATTTAAAATAAATGCACTTTACATGTCGATTCAATGTGAATCGATAGTTTTAATTATCAGTGCACATTGTAATGGTATACAATGTGTATATTTTCAAAAATATTTTTAGAAAAGGAAATAAAATATTTAATAGATCATTTTAGTTTTTATTAATCTCATTTACAATATTTATTGTACCATAAAAATTTCTATTAAGCAGCCTACAAACAGACGAGCACCTACTTAAAAATTTTTATATATAGTCATAAGAGTATACTATCGGTTGTATGTATATATATAATTATACAACATTTGCAACATGAAACATTTTGAAATTTTTTGGCATGGCAAATCAAATTCACGAATCGTTTAGTAAATTTACTATAATTTATTTAATTTTTTCTTTATTTAATGTGTACTATAACATATATGAGTACATGAGCAAATTGGCAGTTTGTATAGTGCGAAGGTAATAGATGTATTAGAGCTAGCATATGTCGGGATAAGCGGAAGAGCAAGTGGAGATTTAGTGGTATGACATCGCTTTCATATTTGCTTGCTAATGATAGATTTCCATTTAACTAGCAATTTACTTGTCAATATAAAATGTACATTTAATGTGCTGACAGAAATTACTTGGAAAAAATAAAAACATTTTCGAAAAATCACAGGTACAATAAGTTAGCAACACATATGTTTACACTGATGTGAATAAGAAGGGCCAAGACGTGGATAGAATTTTTCAAAACACTTTCTTAACGTATGTAAAACTCAATTATGACATCATCGGCCTTAATTATCTTTAATATTTAAATTTTTCAACCCATTTACTGATAAATTCATATTCTGAAATAGCATAGTGATAGCGCCTTCGCTTAAATTTTTTAACATACTTAAAAATAAAATTTGTTTTTATTTTAGAAAATTAATATGTATAAAAAATCTTCAAGATGAAATTTACAGTACATCCATTTAATACTAACTTCACTTTGCTCGTTTTAATTAGGTTTTGAAACTTCATTTATAATACCATAAATATCCTTCAGTTGTTTCATGTTTGCGACACCATCATGGTACATAATGTACCAGAAATAAAAGTCTGAGTACTCCAAATGACTTAGGAACCATGTTCCAGATGTTTCAAAAGACTACACATGACTGTATCTTCAAATTTAAATGTTCTTCAATCCTTAATGTATGGTCTACTTTATCTTAATTTGTATTAAAACTTCTATTAACCATTTGTGAACACTCTAAAGATTTAATAACTATTGATATCGTTCTTTGGATTAGGTAGGAAATTAACATCGTAGTAGTTATAGCAATCGATGGCATAGCAAGAAGATTTATTACGCTTTTTAGCTGTGAATTAAGTTCCATGAAATTAACTAATTATAGAGCCATTTGGTTGGTTAGAGCCCTTGTATGTTAAGCAAGGATCAATGTGAATCAATGGATGTACTCTGGTTATTTATATGACCTGTGAAGATATTTTGACAAGTAATGTAACATAGTTTGAGCAGTGACTTTTAAAACTGAAAGCAATTTTTATTATTATTCTTATTTCATTACATTCAAATAAATATTTCTTAATCCTCCCAGGTTGTTCACTTCTAGAGATTAGAGCCGTATATTAAAGAAGCATGTGTAGAATTAGACCAATGTTTTACTAACACGACTAAAAAAATGTCTGTCTAACACGACAACAACAACAAAATTTGACAGATCGAAAATAAATCTAAATTGAATCCAGATTCACCAATCGAAAGCGAAACGCCATTAGTTAACTTCACTATCAACAACTTTCAATATAAATTTGAATATTCAAATATTTTCTTTGTGATAATCATTCGATTGATGTTTACAGTAAAATATCAGGCCATTTTCATATTTTTGTGTCGGTCTTGTAAATAATTTTTTTAAGTAAACAAATCAATTTCAAAATATGAGATAAATTTATATATCTTCCTGTTTGTGTTTTTTTGTAGATTTGTAGTAAAATTTTTGGAAATGCATCTGCTTTAGCCAAACACAAATTGACTCATAGTGATGAAAGAAAATATGTATGTGTAATGTGCTCAAAAGCGTTTAAAAGACAAGATCATTTGTAAGTAAATGAAGTATAGTAACAAAAATATATAACAAATATATATCTTTCAGAAATGGACATATGATGACACATAGAAATAAGAAACCCTATGAATGTAAAGCTGAAGGTTGTGGAAAATCATATTGTGACGCACGTTCATTACGCCGTCATACCGAAAATCATCACGCAGGTGTAATAACTCCACAAAATCAAACACTTTCTCCAACTGCTGGTACCCCTTCTGGTCTAAGTTTATCTCCAGCTACAGCAAGTGGTACTACCATTTATATAATTCATGTTAAAACTATTTTATATTACTCATAAATCCTACGTTTCATCTATTAGGTGACGCCAGTTCACCAGACGGTGCAACTTGCATACGAACTTACATCTCAAATGGTGGCACAGTTGTAGATGCAGCAACTGGTTTGCCATTAACTGAAGAACAAATTAAGGCCATCAATTTGCCAATTAAGACAAGTGTCACTCTCTTGTCACCCACGTCATCGACATCTTCAGGTGGCGCTTCAATGTCAGCCGCCTCACCTACCATTTCGTTAACTGACAACAGCAATATGGAGGCCGACGGTTTAACTCGTGAACAATTAGATTTGATTAGCAAAATAATGCAGCAAACTAAACAAACTAGTGCTCAAGTTACAGTGTCATCGTCAACAAGTGTGAATTCGTATAAGGTAGATACCGCAATCGCACCACCGCAAACCACAAGCCCACAAAGTATTGTGCAAAATAGGCCACGCACCTGGAATATGCAATTGGTAAATCAAACTACTTTATATCGTTTATATTTTATAAAACCAAACACATAAAGCTTTGCATACTTAAAACTTTCAGTCATTTATTTTAACCGACATATTATATATGCATAACTATTTACATTTTTAGTTGAATACCACGCAAAATGTATCAATCACTGTGGATGAGGTTACATCTGATGCATCTTCAAGTGCTACATCTCCCATCGATACTAAAGATGACGACCTTAGTCAACAACTCGTCTCAGCAATAAGCCCACAAATTTTAAACATAGTAAAAATAGATCAGAAACCTGTTGAATGTAATTTATGTCACCGTAAGTTCAAAAATATACCCGCCCTAAATGGTCACATGCGTTTACATGGCGGTTACTTCAAAAAAGACCCAGAAACCAAAAAGACAGAAAAGCGAGACATCAATGGCCCACCCCTACAAACAGCAAGCATCGGTGTTAGAGCTTTAATCGAGGAAAAAATCATAAATAAACGAACCAAAGATCTTAACAAGGTGAGTATTTAAAATCACAATTTCTTATATTCATAAACTTTCTAACTTTTTGATTTTGTAGGGCGCATTTGTAGTTCCTGCACCACCTGGCACCGTTACAGGTAGTACCACCATAAGAAGATCGATTAGCGATCTAGAAAGCTTCCTAAATCCAAAAAATCAAAGTAGCAATAATAGTAACGCAACAAGTGCTACTGCCACTACAACGACACTGCTGCCTGCAGCCACAACTATTAAAGCAAATGGCCTTAATGTACAACAGCTGGGGTTGCCGCAGAGTATCGAGATTTTCAGCACAAAGCAACAAAAGACATTAAATAATATAAGTGTAGGTGTCGGTACTAATACAATGCATGCAACAAACTCAACGACTGCTCCGTCAACGACAAAATCAGCCACAACGATTAACACAACGACTACCAAGAGTACATCAACCGATCCAAAAGATTCCACCTTAATAGAGTTGTTGAAACGAGGCACTCGTATTGCAGTGACCTCGAAAAAGCCACAAAATGGTACAAATGTCACCACTAGCAACTTACCACCAACATTGCCAACAACTCGTCAAATTATTACCAACAATAATCGCACGGTGATTATACCATCCGATGTACAGGTAGTGCCAACGAAGGTCAAGCAATCCAAATCTAGTAACACCTCACGTGCGCCCACGCCAGCTAGTATTTCGTTAAATGATCCTGCACCGCTGTCATTAACCATTTCCCAAAATAATGGAACAGGCGATGTATACACCCTAACTTACAGTAGTGACAATGCAAGCTTATTTGACAACTCTGAGGTGTATAATGTTTCTGATACCGAAATGCTTTTACAGACTGTGGACTCAATTCAATTGCTAAATGAAGCTGCAGAACAGCTCAAAAACGAACATTCCGAACAATTTACTTTAGACAGCTCTGCTGATGGTAATCTAGAAACAGAACTAGAAAATTTAGAGGCAGATAAAAATTGTGGCGAAGTCCTCAGAATTAATAATTTGAAACAAACAATTACGCCACCTACACTACCAACTTTCCAACAATTCCATTCCAAAGAAATTATAATGCAAAATACAACACAGGTGCAAGCAGCAGTGACAAACATGCGTTCCAATACACTGTCATTACCCGCTGAATTAAAACATCAACTTGTTTCCTTAACATCACCCATACATTCTCCTCTCGCTTATCCTACGCCGCCTTCAAGCCACGAGAATGTTACCCAATCTTCACCATACATAGAAGAAGGGCTACAGTTTGGTGATAGCACAAATGCTTTCTTCAATGATAAATGTAACACCGACTTTTTAATTCAATCCACTGATTCCTCCTTCTTCAAAACAAGTCAAGACGATTTTTCAGATACTGAGAAAATATTAAAACTGAAGAGTGTCTTAGAAGAAAGTACATTTGATTCAAGCATTAAGGTGGAGGACTTACTTAACGATTCACAAAATGATACGGAATGCGATTTGCGAGAGTTTGGGGAAACCAATTTATCATTTTTGGATGATGAAGATCAAGAGTTTCTAAATGATTCACACAATGCTACTTCACCACTTTCGGAATCATTTTTCACCAGTGGAATTGGTTCAGCTGAAGAAGTGAAAGAGGTGTTACGTGAGGTATTGCCTGAAGAAACCATTAATACAAATTGCGAATCCCAGGCAGATAATATTATTGATTTATACTATTTGCCAGGACTTGGCTTACAATCGCAAATGATGCTTAATTCCGAAGATCCTTTGTTATCATCATCGCCAAGAGAGTTTGGACATCAGCGTATACAGCAACAAATATTACAAATTCCACAACAAATTCAGGCCCAACAACAGCAACCACAGCAACAGCAACAGCAGCAGCAACAACAACAACAAACGACAACGCTTGCACTCTATCAACAACAAATTGAACAACAACAACAGCGTCAACTTCAATTACAGCAACAACAAATACAACAGTCAGAAATAAAGCTTGAAATTTTACAACAGCAACATCCTCAAGAGGAACAACAAATACAACAACAGCAAACAGATTATTCAAATCAACAAATTCTTCTGCCACTTACAGACGTGAGTAATGCGAATGGCGTGCAACTACAGTATAACGTGTCAAACTTACCGCAAATCCAATCCCAATCACAATTTATGGAGGCCACAGCTGTTCAAAATATGAACAATATGGGCACCAACTTATTGCAACCTATTATATATACCGGTTCCACTGATAAAGAGGAGATTAACATTACTCCTCAACAGACCAACAACATAAATATATTACAGAACACTGAAATTAGAGAAGCAAATGCTGAAGCAAACGTTTATTTTGCTCCCAATAACGCTATAGTGACTAATGCAATGGTCAGCAACATACACAATGCACAGGCTACAATTATATCATCAGTAACTGTTGCTCCAACTCCTGCTGCAACTGTTCCCCCAACACCTGCTCCAGTGATATCAACACTGCAGCCACTCTCGAATCAAACTAATTCCATATTAAAACGTCGGTTACGTGCAAATGGTACTCATGATTCCAATCTCCTGAACACATACTCCAAATACCACTCTTTATCACCATATCGTTCAAAATTACGCAAACCATCGCGTACTCATTATACTCCAGCGCCAATACTTAATCCCGATCGTAAAGGCACTGGCCTTTATTGCAACGTGCGAAAGAAGCTCAATAATGGATTGATTTCATTCGATACATTTGATGACGACTTTGATGATCATGTGGGGTTGGTGGACTTTTCTGATGAATCAAAGGTAAATTTAGGTTCAGCATACCAGGCTCAGATTCCTGCTTGCAGAGCAAGAGACAGTACAGAAATATTCGAAACCGTACGCTCTGAACTAATGTGGAATCCTAATGTGCAAACTGATGATAAAATTTTAATGCGTTACATCGATTTAAGTAAATCATCGGCTGTGCCGATGGGCAGTCATTCAGAAGAAGTAGCACTACATACATTATTTAAAGCAAAAGGAAACACTGCATCAGCTGTATTGACATTATTGCAAACACAATCAAATTCATTCCAAATGAAGTGGTCAGCTTTCGAGTTGGAGGCTTTTCTGAAAGGCTTAGAAAAACATGGCAAGAACTTCAGTAGAATTGCTTTAGAGGTACGTTCTACTAACTGTTTTTATATGTTCTTAATCTTCATAGGCTTTTTATAATTAGTTGGGTACTAAAACCACCGGAGAGTGCGTACAAATGTATTACTTCTGGAAAAAGTTATGTGTGGACTACAAGGTGACACATCTAAAGGCCGAAGTTGTCAGCACTAGTCATTCTAGTGAACCTAAACCCTATGTATGTGAGGTACCCGACTGCTCGGCGGTAAGTTTCATTAGCTTAGTTATCGGTTTATACAATTCGACATTGCCAAATGGCCAATTTCAGAGTTTCTCTTCAAAAGCTGCTCTGCATGGTCACACCCGCATACACACCTACGGCAGAAATGCCAATAACCAAAATGCTACAAACTCCATTACTGCAAACACCAACGCAAGCGCTACACAATCGAGTAACACAACTGCTGCGCATAAAGAACCAATTAACGCTAAAGAAATTGACTATCCCTGCAAGGTGTGCGGCAAGTAAGATTCCCCCAAGCCAACATCCTTATTTACACTTAAATTTCGTAAAACTTATGTTGATTCGTAACGTAAAAGTATCGCACGTGGTTTCATTTTATTTTCTTTTTCGTTTGTTAGTTTTATTTTGGCCATTCCTATCAGATGAGTATCAATAAAACTGATATTCCGAAATAGGTTCATATTTTTCATATTTTTAAAAATTTTAGTAATCAATTTATTTTGTTATGATTATTGAAACTCATCGACAAGTTTTGTTATCGATAAATTATCGATTGAGTTTTGTTTGCCCGTAGTTGTAATTTTAAACATGATTAAAAATTTATTTATTACATTCTTACTTATTATTACATACTTATTATTAAATAATATTTATTAAAGTATAATCGAAATTTATATAAGAAATAATAATTGTTGTTATTGTTGTTGTATTGTATTGTTCCATGTGTTGCCTATGTCAATCAATCAATCTAACAAACAAATCAAACAAATTCAAAATAAAAGCGAAGAGTGACAAATTGAAGTTTTTAGAAGATTTAATCAAGCATTAAGAAAAGTTCGTAAGCCGTGAATATCGTGAGATTGTTTAACAATCCTAAACGTCTCATCCTAAACGAACGTTACCAAACGAAAAATGTTGTAAGTTCTTAAAAATTATAGTTTTGATTTTCCCTTTTCCGTTTTGAATAAAAAAATCCTTCAGTTACTATTTTATGTTTTTTTTCTCCAATTTCTAACACAAGAGACCATAAATGGTTGCAACGCTAATATTCCGCCATTTCATCAAATTTTCCCTATTGAAACACAAATACATTTTCATATCTTTAATTCAATTGTAAATAAACAAATTCACACATAACTTAACATATCTAATGTCTGTTTGCATAAAACATATTGTAATTACAAAAAAAAAAAAAATAACTAATAATAGTAACATAAAAAATAAAAAGTGAGTTCTTCTACTTTATCTATCTGATTCTAAATATTAAGAACTGCACTTTAGCTATAATCTCATAGATACCAGTGGTTAGTCAATTAAGTGTTTACAAACAAAAATCTATATAAAAAATACTTTCAGATTTTTAACCATTATTTTTAAAATAAAAATTATCTATATAATATATATTATATATATATATAATATATATATATAATATATATATAATATATATATATATATATAATATATAATATATAAAATCTATATAATATTTAAAAAAAAAATTTCAGAGATTTAACTATTATTTTAAAAATAAAAGTAGGAAAGAAAAGATAAAAAAAATCAAAACATTAAAACCTTAGCTACATTAGATGGGCGGAAATACTCATACATATAATTTGAAAACATTTATTTGACAATATCTACTATGTATAAATTATGGCTGCAGTATATTCAAATGTCAATAATATAGTTAAGCAAAGCAAAAAATTTCATGAGTCAATGTATTTCATTAACAATATATTTCATTAGAGATTGTATTTCTTGAGCAAATGCATTTCTTGACCAAATGCATTTCTTGACTAAATATGTTATATGATTAAACAATTGGACTATAGTAAGAGTTGTCAAATACTGTGGCCATACTGCTGTACAGCACTTCTGATCACTGGGATCACTTTGTTACTTCTTTAAAGATGTTAGTCCTTGGTTTTAGAAATGATTACCTTTAACGATGTATTAAACAATACCTTATCCAAAAATAATCTTTAGTCGTATCAACGTTAATGTTCAAAAAATAAATAATTGTAAATATTCATGTTGTATACTTGTTTTTAAACATTTATTTTCTCCTATATATACTGTTTTACTTTAGTTAAACTGGAAGTTATAGGGATTAAAAATTAATTTATTTTGAAAATTTAGGTCACAGACTACCTCATTCATGTCAAAATTTTACAATATTATTTCTTTTTCTGTACGTCAGTTATTTATTATGTATTTTATAAAATGAACTTGTGATGAAATTTTACACCTATAAAGAGCAGTAGAGATGGGTATTTCTTTATACCCCAAAACAGCTGTATGATTAAAAAATAAAACATAATTTTGTTGTAGTAATTCGTTATTATTTTTACATCTATCAATTTTGTATTATAGATGCAAATACGTCCCAACATATTCTACTCTCGTAACTTTTGTGTTATATAATATTACATCATATAATCATATTTTTGGAGAATCGTAGCGTATACAAGTTCCTCATGAATTCCTAATTGAATCATGCATCGAATCAATATTTATTTGAAAATTTCAATTTTTTTGATTTGGTCTCTGGACACATATACCTTTGTTCATTTACCTTAATGTACATATTCTAAAATTTATAACCTAAATCTGAATGACACTATGTTGTTACAGATTTAACACTGATTGAAAGGTTAAATTTCATAATTTTAGCAGATATTTATTTTGTACAAAGTTGGACATTTATTTATATATAAGTTACCTGTAGTCTAAAGCGCGATGCAGACTATCATTTTTGAATGTCATTCTAGTTGCACTCTCTCTTGCCGAACTTGAGCATGCTCACATTCAAGAGTTGTCATTCAAGCAAAATTTTTGAAGAATAACGGTGTTTGCGCACGCTGTAAGTGTGTTTCGCACGTTTTAAGTGTGTTAGTACAACCATGCAAAAATATGCTGTGAAGTGACTAATGCAAATTTTTGGGTGACAGACTATCATTCACAACATGTTGGCGAGAAGTTGAATGATGTGCTCACCAAAATTTTGATGAGCACGCCAACGTGTTGGTTGCGTGTCATTCAAAGGTGCAGACTATCATTCTGGAGTGTCATTCATAGATTTTCTCTCTTGAATGACATTAAAAAATGATACTCTGCACCGCGCTTAAGTCATCACCGACAGAAATATTTTTTTATTTTGACAATGCTAAAACTGCATTGATTCTGTAACCATTCAAAAGATAATATCAATCGAGACTAACCAATCGAGGCTTTACTATTCAGAAAAATTCAGAAATGTTCTAATTATTGTTATATTCCTTATTCAGTTTATTTTACATTCTCTCATGACAACTATTCCAAAACTTTCTCAAAATGTATAGGTCGTTGCTGCTTATAGCTCAAGCTTTTTAACACTAATTGTATTGTTTTTTTTATTCTATAAGTTTATTTTATATTTTTAAGTAACTATTTTTAGTTGTATTAATTTCTGTATTTAAACTTTCCCAAACTAACAACAACAAAAAACTACATAACCATGAAAAAGATAAGTAAACAAATGTCTTTCCAATTTATTTCAGGTTTTTTGCATGCCCTTTCACATTTCTTTTCCTAACGCTTAATACTTCTTAAATAGATCTTTAAACCTGCATGATGTAGGCTTTACTCTAATCAAACTTCTTTAAAGTGTTTTTAACTATACTATATATAACTCACTGTCTACTGGCTTAACTGTTTGTCGTAATTAAATTGGGTAGACTTTTAAATAATATAAACACGTAATATTGAAAAAAAAAACATAATTTCTAAATAAAAATGAATTGCAAAGGGTAGATAAAAATTATAAATTTTTTTCAATATTGTATTTTATATTATTTAACTTCACAAAATTTATATGAAATAGTATTCAAACTACACACTAGCAACAGTTATGTTACAACTTATTTTCTCTTCCATACTTTTGTGAAATATTTGCAGGATATTCAATAAAGTAAAGAGTCGCAGTGCACATATGAAAACCCATCGCATACAGGAAGCAGCAGCACAGAACATCAATGCCTCAACCTCATCAAATATTTTAAGTAATCCAATATCGGACGTATCCTCAACGGCTCAAAATCAAATTGAGTCCCAACCACAACCACAAGCGCAACCACAGCAACAACTACAACCACAGTAAAATTTGACATTAATTGACAATTTCAAAAGAATTACACCTGACATAATGAAGAAAAAAAACAATCTTTATATACGTAAATAATCATTTTATTTAAAATTAAAAAGAATTATCAAGAACTTTTGAAAGATTACCAAAAATTCCGTTGTTATTGACAATCGAAGTGTTATTGAATTATAACCTTAAAATTAATTAAAAAATAATTACCTATAAATTCATAATTTTAAATTATATTAAGTGAAATTAATATTAATTAAATAATTAACAAAAATACTTTATAAGTGAGTCAAAAAATTTTGAAAATGAAAAACGCATTTCTTGTTATCCTCCGGCTATAATTTTACGCCTTCCACATATAAAAATGAAAACTTAAGTAATTAAATTAACAGATTTAACAGATTTAAGCACAACAAATATTTAGTGACTACAAATTTTATTATTTAATAATAATTTAATTTGTATTTACGTAGATTAATATTAATTATAACCTCTCTTTGTAGCGTGTTTCAGTGCTAATGACATATAAAACTATACATACATACATATATATTCAATTAAAAAACTGTGGGTAGAAATTATAAGCTCCTCTCTTTATATAAATCATATGTCAAACCATACTTTATTAAAATACTTGTACAAATATTAAAAATTTTGAATTACAGCACTTTCACGTCATATGGATCTAGAAAAAATTTAACTTCTTTGCTAAATTAATTTTGCGAAACTTCAAAAATAGACCACAACTTTTAATTTTTGTACCACAAAAGATAAAAAATTGTTTTTATTATTATCAATTATGAGTGTAAAATAGTCGTGTCTTCAATAGGTATTATTGTTATCAAAGCTGGTGGCGTATATACACTCAACAGCCGGTACTGCGGCCAAAAGTCCTATTGTACCAAATTCACTTTTAAATACACAAAGCACTCTAAAGCTTTGTGAAGAAAGTTTTCGGAACTAAATCTGTAGAAAGGCATAATTGTCTCCTCATCTTCGAAGTATGATCTGCATTTCGGGTTAACAGATAATTAAGATTTATGTAGGTGATATTTCAATGAAACCCGTTAGCAACCTTAAATTATCTTTTGAGAAATTAAGAATGTTTTTGTGGAAGTATGGTTTGATCAGTGCTTTGCTTTGCCTGAGTCTATGGAAATCTTCGCGGTAAATCAGACGCAATAAATGCTCCCACAAAAGGTTCAACTCACAAAAGGTTTGAGACCCTGTAAATCTTCAATATATAAGAATAGTGTGCTAATACATGTAGTGACAGAATATGCATGTAGGAAAAATCTTTTAAGGTCTTTTTTTCAAAATTTTATCATTAGAATATATATACTATATGGTATATATGTATCTTAAAAAGAAAAACAAATATATCAAAAGCTCTGTTGCACTTATTCACTTTATCTATATTAATATTATAACTAACTAAAAACAGGTTCTTATTTTTACATAATCATAAAAACCACCAGTGACGTCGTTAGTAATCAAGTGAATACTATCAGTCCCACAATTCAGTTGGTGACTTATCTTTCAAACTTTTGTATATAGTTTGATGTCGTACATCGTACGTTAAGAAATTATGTGATATTGGATTGAGCATAATTGTTATATGCATTATTTTTAACTGTTTCTATTCATTTAGATTCAAGTTTAGGTTCATTTAGCTTCACCAAATTCTTTCCTTACAGGTCTTTGTTGGTGCTTTATACTTAAGCATTGCAATCAAAGAGAATTAATGGTGGGGACGTTTTTGCTTCATGTATTTGTGCTTCGTGTAATACAGCATGTGTGACATTGGGTTCTTACGAAATTCCTTCTTAAAAAATGTTGTTTAAGGTTTCTTAGAGTTCAATGGAATATATAATATCTTGACGGAATGCATTCTTGTACGAAATTGTTGAAAAATTGTACTGGGAATATTGCTTAATTTATTAAGTATAATGTCACAAATATGTTGATGAATATCTTGATGAATAACTGAGTACGGAATGATGAAGTGAAACTTATATTATTATTTGCTATAATTTTATACGTGTAAAATTTAAGCGTCCTCGTCCAATATTAATATTTGAGAATATTTTCGGTTAGGTGAATGAGTTTTTAATATATTTAATAAATAATAAGTTTAAAATGCTATTCAATGACGTAGATTCTCATCTGACTGTATAAAGAAATTTAATCTGAGAGTAATACTTACTAGGTTTCACTCTCATTGAATTGATATAATTTGAGTATGCATAAAATAAATTATTATTGTTATTAATATTTCCATACTCTATTAGAAACTTAAGGAGTCTACAAAAGTTTTCCACTGATTTGCTCTCAACTCGTTAAACGATTTGCTCATCTCCTGCTGAACTGTCCTTCTCCATGCCATGGTCTGATGGTCTGCCTTTACGTCTAGCCCCCTAGGGGTTCCAAATAAGTGCAGTATGCGCGACATATTCATAAGACTTACGCAAAGTGTGTCCAATACTTCCAACCATACTTCTTTTTTCTTATCTCTCTCTTTACGTTTGTTTGGTGCGTTATAATCCATAACTATTCATTTGAAATCGGACTAGTCCACCATATGCCTGATATGTTGCGCAAGCAACGATTGATAAATGATTGCAGTCTTCTTTCGATTTCAAAGTTAGCAAGCCAGGTGTCCGATCCATACAGGCACACCAATTTGAGGCATGCGTTAAAAATTTTTACCTTAGTGTTGGTACGTATATTGTGGGCCCGCCCTAACCTAGCAAATTATACATGCGCTTTTTAACTGCGACTATTGATGTCCTATTGATTTAGCACAAAATAAATATCAAGAGTTTATTTCTTTTAATATAATAATTTTAATATAATAATAACATATTGTTTGATGTAAGAACAGTATATTATTGTGGTATAAAAATGAATTTAATAAAATTTTTGAAGAAGAAATGTTAAATAAATTTAAACTAAAATAAAATTTAGAAAAAGTGCTTTGAAGATATAATTAATTTATATAATGATAATAATTCTGATAATTGATTTGTAATTATGACCACAATTACTTGAATAATCCTCTATTTTTCAAAATTTTTTCTATATTTAAAATGGGATTAAATGAGATATTATTTGATATTTGAGGCTCTTAAGTAGCTTAAACAGCAGTAGCTCATCAATTAAGCACTACTTATTGCGTTAAATTTGTGGTCTTTAAGCCTAACGTATAGTTAATTTTTAGAACATATGACTAATCTTTTATTTGTGGTGTAAAATGCGTAGTCTATCAAAACTTTTTAAGTTATTGTTTGAAGCTATAAACTGTTTGAATAAATTTTGTTTAAACTAGTGAATAAATTAAATATATTAAAAATATTCTATATACTTGTTGTTCTAGTATGTAAGAGTTTATTTATATATATATTAACTTTAATATATATATAATATATTTAATAACTAAGTATGATAAAGTAAAAAGTACTTAAAAACTCAAAAAAAAAGGAAATATAAATCATTATTTTTGAAATCAAGTGATAAAGAGTGAGATTAAAAACGATTTTAGCTAAATACTAAATATTTAAAATAAATTTCAATTTAAAAAAATTATTAATTCAAAATTAATTATGACTTTTTATTACTATAATGTACATAATGTATTATTCATACATATATTAGACATTGTAAATGTACTCTAAATACTCATTGCTCAAAAAGACACTAAAATAATTTTCTATGTGCACTCCTTCAGTGCCAAAATATCAGAAAAAACATTCAAATAAAAAAAGATCAATAAATTAACACAATTTAATTTATTAATTAAGATAAATAATTAAGTTAAATTAAAAATAAAAACAAAATACTCTCAAAAAAATACTTGTGCTACAATATTACAAAACTACACACATAAATGTTATAAATAAGTTAAGCATGATTAGATATATAAATAAATTAATTATTTTAGTATATATGTAGTTAATAAGTATTTGAAATCATATACATATATGTATTAATAAATCTTAATAGTGGCGTAGTAAACTCTATTATAACATTTAAGATATTTGTGTGGTTGTTAAATGTTTTCATGTACGTATATACAATAAATTTAATTAATTTACTTATTAAATTAAGCAATTTAATTAAGAACTTAGTAAATGTTAATGAGAAAAACTGAAAAGCTTTCAATTTTTAAAAAAATTTAAATATATGTTTCAATAACAATCTCTTGTTTTACTAACCATAACGCCAATAACTGAAGAGAGCAAATCATGTAAAATAAGATTTACTTTAATATATATACATTTGTATATATATAAATATATATAAAATAATTAGAAACTATTATATGTAAATGTGAAACTTCTGCCAAAACGATACAATGAAAATCTTTCAATGAAAAAACATTTATTTTTCACAGAACAAATATTATACAAAAGAAGCTCTAAGCTGTGCTCTCACTATGCAACAAGCTATATACATATAATTATAATTAAAGTTATTTACTTATTAAAAGTACATAAGAAAAAACTTCAAGCCACAGTTTAAAACTATTAGCAATTCATAAGGTTGTATTGTAGTTGCATACAAGTACATAATTGAGAAAATTACTTATTTACATAAGAATATATAAATAAATTTCGATAGTAAATAAGTTATAAATTAATATATACAAAGAAAATTCTATAAAAATATCATTATAAATTAAATTCAATTCAATAATAAATATTAAGTGTATTTCAAGTTAAGCGTGTTTGTGGATAATTAATAATTTAGATAACATTTATTTGTAAAATGAAATTAAAATATTTTAAAATAAATTATGATTTTTTTTAAATTAGTTTAATGCCTAACGAAAGTATTTAGTTTTAAATTGAACTTCAGTTTTCACTGATTTTATATATTAATTTTTTTTATATAAAATAAATCTAATGAAAAAACGTAAGAATAAATTAATTAAATGTATAAAAATATATGAATAATTTTAATAGCAAAATATATATTAATTAATTATTATGATTAATAAAAAAATAAGCCCACCATAAATTTTATATTTAAGTACAGTACGTGCAAAAATAATAATATAAAACTTATATAAAGTTATTAAGCGTAGAGGAAGGGAGAATAATTAAATGCAATAAAATAAAAATATTTTGCTATACATGCTATTAA